GCAGCCCCGCCGCCGGCGGGTTATCCGACCAGAGACGGCGGCGATTTTTCCCAACCCCCTCCTGTTCCTGCTGAAACCAAGTCCAGAGGCGACGGCTTCTGGAAAGGCTGGTAATTTAATTATTATTATTAATTTCTATGTCGTTCCCTTTTAACCGTGTTTTATTTTATTTAAATTTTAATTTTGTTTTCTTAATATTTTTATTGATTTTTGCAGTTGTGCTGCGATATGCTGCTGCTGTGTATTGGACGCATGCTTCTGATCGCCGGAAGTTGGAGCGGCGGCGGACGATTCCGGAGACCTGTTTTACTAGAGACGACCGGATTTTTTTAGGGATGTATTATGATATTTTGTGATTTAATTTTTAGTGTTCTTTTTTTTTTTGTGGAATTTTTGTTAATTATGTTGTATTAATTCGTGTGTTGAAACGTAGGAGTCATGGTGATGGAACCGTATGGGACTATATGATTTATAATATTTTTTAAATAATAAATTATTTGATGTTTTTCTTGTGTATTGGTTGAGAGTTGTTTTGTTTCAATATCGTTGTGACACGTGGCTGCTGCTTACGTTATCTACACGTGGGCATGGAGAAGATAAGGATGAAACGAGAGAATTTGAATTGGAATTACTGGTTGCTTACTTCTTCCACTTGGTTGCGCATATTCTCTATTATAAATATATAAGATCTTCTGAAAAAATGTATGGAATATATTCATTTTAATGAAAAAGATTAACTAAGTAAATGATGGATTGATATTTATTTAATTTTAAAAATAATTGGAAGGTTAAGTAATTCTAATATTAAGTTGAGTATGAAAAGACAAACGTCCGAGAGTCCCTTACTCAACCACCATTCAAAGCATCCAAATCTTATGTTGAAGATAAGATTATGAGCGCTTTCGAGAGCTCGTATCGATACAACGATCATTTGATATTTTGATGTCGTCTTCGTTGGAGGTGATTTCAACTCACACTAGAACGTATTGATTGAGTAATGAAAGTTACACGTGGCTTTAATTGATAAGCCTCAAGTTTCTTTACCTCGGTCTCATCTTCTATGGCCGAGCCAAAAAGTCTTGTTCTCATTTATTGGTTGAACCGACTAGCTTCACTTCATTGCCACCTTAAAGAGCCGTTGATGCCTTGTCAGGGACATTGTCGGGATAATCACTTATAAATAGAACTCATTCGCCTCATTTTTAGGTACAGGAACACTAGATTCTCTCTCAAGTTTAGTTTGACTAGCCACTGACTCTAATATTGGAGTGTGTTTTGTTTTGTAGGTTTCCTGCTCAACTCATTTCCAGCTTGTCCACTGGGTCATCTATAGTTTGAGTCGAGGTTCAGGGAGTTGGTCAAATTTATTATCAAACAGACTCAACATATTTGGAGCCGTAAAGATTTGAATATTTGTTTTAATATGAATCGTGGGCAAAAGTTGTACCTTTTATGCTTATTTGAATGATATACATAAGAATAAGAAGATGATTCACAGAGATGGGGTTATTGAACTCATAAATATTAATAAATTCTTCTAATTGAACTTTTAAAGTCTATTTTTCTAGCTCGATATTCTCGAACTAGCTTATTAAGAAGAAAAAAATATATATATTTATTATACTGAAAATAAGAACGAACTATAGTTTTTGATAAAGTTACAGAGTATGACTTCAAATTCAATTTACAACATCATTGCATAAAATTCTTCGCCTAGCAGAGTAACAATTCACGTAAACTTAAAAACAAACATAACACACAATACTATTTGGTGTGAATATTTGTGCTAGCCACAAATATGATATTTTTCTCTTTCTTTATATATGAAAAATCTAAAATTTTCTAGATTTTTTTTTTCTTTTTCATGACTTCTCTAATTTCTTTCATATTTTCTTACTCTACGTAGGAATGAATCATCAGTGACATATGAAATTAGAAAAATTATTCAATAAATGCTTTTGGAAAGAAATATAGGTAGTGGCAAGTTTACACCATTATCATGACTCATGACCCATGTGGTATAGAATATATTCTTCCTGTTTTTTCTTTATTGTTTTTTTTTTATAAATACTTTTATTTGTTAGTTTCTTTTCAATATATTATAATCAAACAAAAAAAAAGTCAACACTTTTGTTAATTAATTTTAATTTGCTAAAAGAAAAAATTTATGGGAGTACTCCTAAACATACCTTTACTCAGTTATGGTATTTATATCCATATACTTTATATTAAATTATTCATTATCAATTATCATGCTAGTTGATTATCATAAGAAACACGTACGCGTACCGTGCACATAAAATTTTATAGTTTTCATTTTAATATTTAAAAATATAAAATTTAATTAAATAGTTAAAATTTATAATATAATTTGGTTTTTCTATCTCTAAATGTTTACCTCACCAAGTTTTTTCGTATTTTTAATGTTTATCTCATAAAACAACGTCTCAATAATTCTCGTCACCCACTGATGTGGTTAGTGTGACTAAAAGGATTATTCTTCAATTACTTAAATTTTTTTTTTTAAAAAAGCACATATTCATGGATTTTTCATCTTTTTTTCGCTAAACATATCAATACATAAAAGTAAATACAATTTTGTTTCAATTTCTTATTTGAGTCATTGAAAAATAAAATGACAAAAAAAATAGTGAGAGATAGAGATGCAGGGCAGCCGTTCTTTGCCATGTTTGAGTTTTGGTCCAATTCCTTGCCCTAGCTCGCCGGGAATGCCAACCGCAACCATGTTCCGATGGATTGATATGATAATCACCTTACCAAAGAGGAGGTCATTGAGGGAATCCTCGCGGTTATCAAGTGTCATCCCAAAGTGGATCCGTCCAAGGTATTCGATCTTATCACTCATTTTCACTTTCGTTTTCCAGTTGATTGAGTTGGTTGGAAAAAAAATAACTAAAAAAGTTGAATATTCGATCAAACAATCTAACTAAATATAAGAAAACACAATACATTGACTAAAGGAGAAAATTTATCTATCGAAAGAGAAATAAAACACAAGTTTTGATGAATAAAAGTTGGGAGAAGGAGTAAGAAAAAACTCTTTATATACTCGTAGAAAATAAAAAGTTACGAACCTTTTTAAATTCCTTATTAATTATAATTCAAAATAAGTTATAACTTATTAACATAGATATAAAGAGGCAAAACTCTCTATATTCTAACTCTTTATATCCTAACCTTTAAAAGGGAAAGTTTATTAGAAAGAGAAAATTAATTTGACAAATGTAAAATTGGTAATGATGGAGATTAAATATTTTTAAAGAAATGAAAAAAAAAGGAAAGTAGCGTGGGAGGGAGAGAAAGGGGAGCGAGGGAGAAAATTTTATATTTAAATGACAAAATTATCCTCAAAATATCTATGAGAATGTTGAAATTAAAAGGACAAAATAGAGAGAAAAAGTTTCTCCCTATACTCCCTTTTATATATAGATTATAATTTGTATCGACAATTAATAATTTTGATCATCATTCCATTTAATTATCAATATAATTAATTACCACCGTTTAATAATACAAATAAACTAAATTTTTACCTAACTTCAGCTTATTTTTTTTATTACAATAAGTGAGATGAGAATTCGAACTCATGATCTTTTGCCAAAGATAGATGTTGGTAACTTGAGCTTAATTAAGATATATATCTCTRCATATTATATTTAAAAAATAAGCTAAAGTTATTTAGAGCAATGTAGACTATTGTTGATGTGAAGTTTCTCCAAATTTTAGATACGAAAGAGATCGATAAGACCTGCAAAACAGAATAGCAATAAGACCGGTGTGGCTCTTGCCACACAGACTTCGATGCTTAAGTTAGACTTTGGATAGTCGAGAATAAAGAGTCGGGTAATTGATCGTGTTTAATCCTAATACCTTTAGGAATTATCAGAGTCGAGTCCTACTGTGCCTAGGAGATCTGGACTCTTGGACCTGTGTGTTTAGTATTAGGCCCAATATCAAATCTAAGGTCGAAACAACACAAATTTGGATGAGTAGGGGTCGGGAGAGAATCGTTGGAGTTCTCAACCATTGGTCGAGAAGGTCTCGACGCCGACCTCGAGACATCTGTGGCTGGCTCGGGTCGCCGAATCCGCTCCTCTCTCAGCCCAATTCTGTCTTTCATTGCTATATCTTTTTATCTTCCCCTAACAAGTATTAACATAATAAAAAAGCAACAAAATATAAAAAAACAAAATATCAACAAAAAGTGATTAACATGAATAAAAAATTAATATTAACAAATTTTAAATTATTTAAAATGATTAAAGATTTATTTGTTAATTTAAATATTTGTTATCTTTATAATTATTTTTAAAATATGCATCAACGTTATATTTTATCAATATTTTCAACCAGGTTTAAAACATTGAATGGTCAATTGAAAAATAAATAAATGGTCTCTGAAATAATGAGCCCATTGAGGCCCATTATAAATAATTAGGGCTTCGGTTTTACAGGTTATAAATCAGCTGCTCTGCTCCTAGAGTTTATGTTGTCGTCGTCGACAGATTGAGGGGAATTTTTTCGCGATCGGAACTGAAAATGGTCAAATTTATCAAGCCGAACAAGGCGGTCGTTGTTCTACAAGGCCGATTCGCCGGCCGGAAGGCTGTGATAGTGCGCAACTTCGATGATGGAACCCGGGATCGACCCTACGGCCATTGTCTGGTGGCGGGGATCAGCAAGTACCCGAGTAGGGTGATTCGCAAAGATTCGACCAAGAAGACGGCGAAGAAATCGAGAGTGAAGGCCTTCATCAAGCTTGTGAACTACCAGCACCTCATGCCGACGAGGTACACACTCGACGTCGATCTCAAGGATGTGGTTAATGTGGATTGTTTGCAGTCGAAGGGCACGAAGGTTGCGGCGGCGAAGGAGATCAAGAAGAGGATGGAGGAGAGGTTTAAGACTGGGAAGAATAGGTGGTTTTTTACCAAGCTTAGGTTCTGAGGATATCATAAGTTTTTGAGGTTCTTTTTCTCGTTTAAAATTTTGAGAAGTCATTTTTGAATTATGAATCCATTGTCTAATGGGCATATTACTAAATTTTTGTTGATCTTCTTCTTTTAGCCCTAAATAGTTGGAATGAGATAAGGGTTTAATTCAATGATCTGAGTCTTTCAATCTCGTTCGAATGTCTCAGAGTTTGATACATTATTAGATTCTCGATAACAACAATAAGAGTTTAAATGATCAAATGGCATTGCTGCTGGATCACACATACAACTGGGGAGATTCTTCCCGTGATTTATGGGTTTGATTCTTCGTCTCTGTGTGGAGTTTATGCTTGAACATTTAATTCTTCTATATTAATTACAAGTTCTTTAATTTGATCTTTCCGGATGGCTATGGATCTGAATTTTCTTTGTGCTTCCCCTGTCATTTAAGTAAGATCATAAGGATGGTTATTTTTCTGAGATTGGACCAGCTTCCTAATGTTGGGTGTTTTTCAATTCCCTGCATTTTTTTCTTCATAATTTCGTTGCTTGAATCTTGCTCTTGTAAAAATGTCATTGTAAAATAAAGATTCAAAAAGTTACTCTCTAAACCAAAATTTTGACTAGAAGTAGTTTTTGCTTTTGAAAACTAACATTTTGAGTTCATTGGATTAGTATTTTGATTTTGTTTTTTTGAGAAAATTCCATGCTTAAATATTTAGTTGAAACCTTGAGCAGAGGTGTTTCAAGGAATGGATGATTCAAGCTGAGATGATCTGTCTATACACACTCCAATATAATTTCTTCTGTTTTTTCTTATTTATTGACAAACAAATTGGAGTATCAATGGAAACAGAACTCTCACCTTCTACATTCCATTAAACTTTTCATTCATCTACAGACTTTTCGACATTATCGATCCTGGTCGGTCAGTTAGCTCACCTACTTTTGAGATTTCAGTTCCTTCACCCGCTCTTCAGTATCCTTGAGTGCTTTCCCATATATGTTTATTAGCTGAAAACAGTACCATTTTCAGGTTACAACAATCAAGGTTCATAGTAAACTCTAATTGCTCAAACAGATGCTCTGTTACTCCAGAAGAAGCAAACTTGGATCAGATTAGCTTAACCCATTCCTCCCAAATCAGTTTCAAACTTTGTTACCCCTCTGGAAATATTTCTGGAATTCTTTCATCAAAGACAATAAATTGGCTGTAAGAATCTGTATGGTACCTCATCAACTTCTTCAGGTGAGATAATGAAGGGAGGACTCATCATTATATTATCCCCAGCGACGCGTATTAACATTCCATGCTTCTCACACATTGCTCCAAAATATGCACCTATGCCTGCACATCCCATAGAGCACTCGGTAGAACAACGATATTTCAACTTCCATTTTATAAGAAACCCAGAAATTTAAATGCATTTCTACATTCATCAAGTTATACTACCCAACTAATATGTAATGCTTATGATTTTAATCCACATGATCAATGATAGAATTGAATGGAAACTCTTTAGCAACAGAAGGTAGGTACCCCATTCAGGAGGAAATGGATCATTGGGTGATTTGTTGTCTGTGAATTCTGTGCCTAAGATCAATCCCATCCCCCTCGTCTGCAAAACAAAAGGGTTGCCTCGAGCTAACGTTTTGCAGCGACATGCCTACCAAATGAGAAGAAATGAATAATTGAACCATACCTCTCCTATGATGGGACTGCTAGAGAAAGCTTTTACACCATCTTGAAACCTTGGGGAGATGTTCTTTACTTGCTCAACAATATTTCTCTCCCTATGGAAGAAGCACATCTTAAACGTTAAGTTATAAACTATATGATCCACTAGAGAATTTTTCTCATGGTTGCAACTTCATCAAATAATTATTATTCAAGGTAAGTCTTGGGGCCTGGGGGTTGCCAATACTTAGTTAAGAACAAGAATATATTGAAAAGATTGAACCGTAGATCTTTAAAACAGCCATAAAACAACGTACTTGTAGATCTTCAGTGTTTCAATGGCTACAGCACATGCAACAGGATGTCCAGAATACGTAAATCCATGGGAAAAAGTACCTGAATTGTATATATATTAGACAATATATTCGTCGTAAGACTCGTACCGAGCATATTTTCACTTGCACCAAAACCGACGTACCGAGCTTATTGCTTTGAGAGTGTATGACATCTGAAACTTCAGGGCTGACAATGACAGCACCAATGGGCATATATGCAGAAGAAAGAGCCTGCAATTTCAACACCACAAAATACACAAAAGACAGATATATCTTCTTCTCAGGATCTAAACACAATAAGCTTTCTCCATTCTTCAAATTACCCCAACTTCACCTTGGCTATTGATACCAAGTCTGGCTTAATATCGTATTTATCACATCCGAACATCGTCCCGAGCCTTCCGAAGGCGCAAATAACCTATGGCAGTGAAGAACTTACAGGACATGAGGTAAGAGAATTGAAAGTTGTGAAGAAGGATAGTAAGACTATATTACCTCATCTGCAATGAAAAGAATGTCATATTTCTTCAGCACAGCTTGGACCTACACACATGAAACTAAAAACTAGTGAATAATTTTCAAATATTGCTTCTCTTCTCTTCTTTTGAGCAAGTATTGGAAATCTAGAAGCACTCATGATTATGCATCTAAATAGTAAAGTTCTTATTATGAGCATTTTACGTTTTAAACTTGTTAAGAAACTGCCAGCTTACTTTATCGAAATAAGTTGCAGGAGGAAGTATCACACCGCCTGCTCCCATGACGGGTTCAGCAATGAAGGCAGCAATCTGAAAGAAACAAAGGTTTAAACACAAACAATTATTTGCAGATGCCAAATATTTGAACATTCAAGTCAAATTTTGTGACATTACTGTCTCCGGTCCTTCGGTGATAATAAGATTCTCTAAATTGTTGGCTAATCTCGACGAGAACTCTTCCTCGGTTTCACCTGGCACATCACTGTCACATTTAACATTATAAAAGTAATAATATAAACTGTGTAACAACACTTCTAATAATAGAGAGCAGTTTGGTGACAACCAGGAAGATGATAGCGCCAGTAGTGAGGACAGTCAGTGTGCAGTACAAATGGAGCAGGAAGATCAAATTTTTGATGCAAAGCTGGAAGACTACAATAAAATTTCCCCAATTAATAGACTTTGGTCAAACAAGTTATTTAGGACTTTTGAAGTATTTGGAGAATATCCTGACAAGATATCTTTTGTTATCGTCGTACCCAGAAAGACTAGCCGAAATCAATGTCGAACCATGGTACCTGAGATTGCATAGATAGCAAACTTGGATTAGTAAAATGAGCAGAGCATATTTGAAAGGAGCATTCGACAATGAACATACGATTTTGAACGAGCGATGAATTTCTTTTTGTGTGGTCGCCCGAGTGCATTATTATAATACCAAACCAGCTTTACCTACATGAGTTAGAAAATAACATTATTCATTGATATTGCAGTTATCACCACCACCTACAAAAAAGTGAATATCTCACACTTGTACAGTTGAATGACCTTACTTTAAAGTTTCATATTTACCTGATCTCTTTTCCTTCAGTAGTTAGGTAAAAGATAGTTAACTTTTCATTGAAGATGAAACTGGAACCATATTTTCCAGTTTAACCAAAAATGTTAAAGATCCATACATTTCATTTTCAAACACAAAGTTCACAATATGTCAGATGATGAGCTATTAATATTCAACATCCATATATATAAGCAATCATAGAAAATTGCTAACAGTAAAGTAAAAGGTGGAAAAATGGCACCTGAGAATCATTTGCTTCTGATCCACTATTAGAAAAGAAGACCTTCCCCATTTTCCTTGCAGTAAAAATTTCTAGTAGTTCTTTTGCTAGATCCTGCAATGGAATATCTGAGTAACATGTATATATTACAGGTAGCTTTATTCTGAAAAGGGAATATGATGATACCAGAGAAGGTTTTGTCGTGCGATTCCAGAAGGAATGGTAAAATGGCAATGTATTCAGTTGTGCTGTTGCAGCAGCAACCAGCCGAGGTTCACTTCCCCCTGCAGTTATTCAGTATCCACACATAACTCGAAAGTCCCAAAACTGAAATAGGATTAGATTTACAATGCACACAGACTAAGAGCATGCCTGGATATTAAGATATTTATTCTCTGCAAGCTCTTTCTAGACTTCTTTAACTTATTAGGAACAATTTCAGGATTCTCCAACTCTTAAATTTTATCCTAACTATGCTGCCCATATGTTCTATATTTCCAAATTGTCTGAAATAACAAATAAAATATGATAACTGAAATTGTTACAACACACACGCCACGAAGTTGACTTTCTAGGTAAAGAACTGAATACATCCATATGCTTGACAGTGCCTCTAATACTTGCATACCATTACATTTAAACTATATTTCTCAGGAGGGGAAAAATATATTAGATACAAGGGAAACAATCTTTTCCATCTTAATTGGATCAAGAAAATAATGTTAGAACAATATCAAGACATTAAAATCCATTATATATACTTGAGTAAGATTGGTAGCAGTAAGAATACCCAAGGATGTGCACCATAATCCAGCAAGGGCGTCGAGATATTTCTTCCCGTTAACGTCGTAAACATAGGAACCCTGACAATTTACCATAACTGATTGAATCTATCCTGTGGGGATGGAGGGTCCTTATTGTATTGCCAGGTTATATATTGAAAAGACCAGGTATACCTCAGATCTTTCTATAACCAGAGGATTCAAATCAGCAGTCTGCCAACCAGCTGTGAAAGGTGCAAGCATATCATGGCCTTTGAACCTAGGATTCCAGATGTAAAATATGTGATATTGCATATACATTTTCAAATTGCAAGTGCTTGAGTGAACGAATATGCATATTCGTGCATAGAACGAGGCACTTGAGTTCGAGGGACAGAAGGAGGGAGGGAAATTTATCACAGATACTCCAAGTTACCCTCGTCCATTTCTTGAATCAGTAGTAGAATTCTCCCTTTGAAATGATGCTTCTGTACCATACGGCTGGGAAAGTAGCTGAACCTGAATAAGCCGCTCACAAGAGGTTCTAAAAGCAGCAACATCTTTTGCACATGAACCAAGCTGGTAAAGATTAAGATAAATAAGTTCATATCCAAGACTACTGAACTTCCTTTGAACTTATGAATCACAGAAAACAAGCAATATGGGGTAACAATTAACATCCAGATTTTTTGTACACTGAACCCACCAAACCCCTAAACTTCAATACACAATTAACTAAGAATCGGTTTTTCTTCATCTCCCCAACCTCCTCTGGATAGTTATGTTCTTCACTAATTCATATAGTTGAGCTCTGGAAATGATTTGGAAAGGATGCAAACACAAGGTGGGGCAGGAAAATGCATAAAAAGGACGATAAATCGCCTCAGCAAGATGATATTTCCAATAAAAAGGAAAAACCCATCTACCTGAAAACTAAATCTCTAACTACAGAGTACAACCCCACCATTAGAGAACACCATAAACGTTATTAGCAGTAAGTTTAAGAGAAGCTTGCAAGGCGAGAAAGACAAGGGAGAAACACAGCAAAAAGAAAAATGGGTCGATCAGAAAACGGAAGAAAATGATGAAAAGATGATCAAATTTGAAAACCTTGGGTTTGATGATCGAACGAAGCAGATGGTTGAAACCCATTTCTTGCTTAAGGCGAAAGGAAGAGCAGCGGAGTGAGTCGTGTTCTGGGACTGAACGCACTTGAAAATATTGGAATTCCACGCCGATTTGAGAGCGACTTCTTCAATAATGGAGTCGCTAATACGATGTTTTTTCATCTTTGTAAGTTTGCGACTGATTTGATTTTCATATTTCATCTTCTTTTGATCTTTACAGCTCCCATGTTCCATTCCATCCAGTCCAACTTCGGGAATTTGTCTATCTTTTGGTAAAATTGTTTGTTTTAATGGATGATTTTGTCTCGAATACATAAAATTATCCGTTAACAAATGAGTTTAACAATTAACAAAGTTAAGAAATTTTGCGGAATTGTTGTTTTCTTTTTCTTGAAGTAAATATTTGTGGATTTACTGTAGTTTTTTAAAAAATCGCAAACCTTTAGTACAAATACATTTTAATTTAAAATATTTTTATTGCCCGTTCATTCTTTCCCATTTTTAATAATCCAATATCTGCTGGGCCCGACCTAAATTGAGCTCATCCGGGAGTAGACTGAATTCGTCGTTCCGTTCATCTTTCCGGCGGATTACGATGAATCTCCGGCGACGTGTGCGGTGAAATGGAGGAGAGAGGCAAAAGTTTGATGGACAGAAGTACAGAACGGAAAATGAGCTCCAAAGTGAGCCTCGGCGACAATGGTATCTCCCGTCGATTCTTCTCCTTTTGTTAGTTCGTTCTAATTTCTTCGAGGTAACGAATCCAGCTAATTGATTTTGGAATTTCAACTTTCTTCGGGTTCTGATTTTTGCATTTCTTCTTGTTTTTAACAGAGACTTCTGATTCTTGTAATCCCAAATACTGCAATGTATAATCTGCGAAACGCCCATTAGGTTGAGACATTTCAGTTTCTTCTTTTTACTTTTTCTTGCTGTTAAACTAGAGGCAATTGAAGTTTTTAGAAGTATATTTGTAGGTTTGAAACCCTGCTTGGGAATTTGGTGATATGGAAATTAAAATTGGGGAATTCTTCAGTTGTCCTTGTATCAGCATGAACTATGAAAATGTCTTAATGAGTGGCTGGTTGTGTTAGCACTCTCCTTGTAGCCAACATTCTTAACTACCCTGGCTATGGATTGCAAGATTTGTGCAAATCTGAGAGTATTCTTCGCATCCTGCTTCTGAAAGAAGTATAGGAACCTCTTTTTAGGGAATTTATGTATTGAAGTTGAAGCTACCCCAAAAGATGTTGCTTCTTTTGGCTATGAAAAAAATTTCTTCCGGCCCATATCTCTACGAAGAAAGCAAGATGATCTTCAAAACCAACCGTTATGGAGACCAATAAGTTATCTGATTGAAATGCTCCTGTAAGCTCAAAGGAAAATGTTGCTATTTTCTAGTTGGATTGAGTTGTGATGTGTTTTCAATACATTGTCTACAAATATGTTAGTAACATTTTCTCTGAAATTGTTACTAATCCATGAGATTGCCTTGACCCATATTATCAGACGTTCCACTGTTTTATAGGTTGCCAATTAATCAATAGATCTTCTGCCCTGTTGTTCATACAAAATGAATTTTTATTCAATCTTATGAACTCTGAATATATGCTAGGAAACCTCGAAACTCCGAGTTCCCTTATTAAAATTAGTGTAGTTGAAGAATAATTAAGATCTCCATCACAATGTAAACTTTCCTGCCTCCTCAAAATTTAATAATCACAAAATCTCTGTTTGCTTTTGTCGCTTGTTAGGTGTCAGGAAAGGTCATGGAAGATGGTATGGTCACTCTTTAGATTTAACGCCCCTATTTGGGTGTTGGTTTGTATGGAATTCATTATTATCTTATTATTTTGAACTGGAGTCATTTCTTGTATAGTTAGTCTTAGAGCTCCTTTTGTTGGGTTGTTTTTTAGTAGGCCCCCTTTTGTCGTTGTTTTCTTTCATTTTTTCTCAATGAAAGCTCGGTTTCTCATTATAAAAAATCATGAAATTTGTTCCTTGTGTATTCTCAGGGACTTCTTGTAAAATGATAATTGTGTTATATATTACATTTCCCTCATGGATGTAGACCTTGAGCTGCCTTCCAGTGATCAAGAAAGGTTAGACATCATTGTGGGTAAAAATGATGGGATGGATGTGGATCAGACACATAGTGAGGGAGAGGATGGAAATTCTCCTACAAGGGATGAGCACAGTGAGGAAATGTCTATGCCAAACACCGAAACTAGTAGTGGTCAGGATCAAATGGACATCATCAATGTTGAAACAGATATTATTAGCATGGGGCCAACCTCTGAACCGAAAAAAGGTTTGGAGTTTGAGTCAAAGGAAGAAGCGTATTCTTTTTATAGAGAATATGCTAGATCTGTGGGATTTGGCATCACAATAAAAGCAAGCAGGCGTTCAAAAAAATCTGGAAAGTTTATTGACATTAAAATTGCATGCTCTAGATTTGGAAGCAAGCGAGAGTCTACTACGACCGTCAACCCTAGACCATGTACAAAGACGGGTTGCAATGCTAGCATGCACATCAAGAAGAGGCAAGATGGAAAATGGTTTGTACATGGTTTTATAAGAGAGCATAACCATGAGATTTGTCCTGATGATTTCCATTATGCCTTTAAAGGAAGGAATAAAAAACCGAGTATTGTCATTTCTGAGAAGAAAGGTTTGCAATTGGCTTTAGATGAGGGAGATGTCCAATTGATGCTAGAACATTTTATGCATATGCAAGAATTAAATCCCAATTTCTTCTATGCCCTGGATTTCAATCAAGAAAAACAATTGAGAAGTGTTTTGTGGGTTGATGCGAAAGGTAGGCATGAGTACAAGTATTTCAGTGATGTGATCTTATTTGATATTCATTACATAAGCAATGGGTACAAAATTCCTTTTGTTCCTATTGTTGGAGTTAATCATCATTTTCAATATATCTTGTTTGGAGGTGCACTGATTGGGGATACGGATACTTCAAGTTTTATTTGGTTAATGAAGACATGGCTCAAAGCAGTGGGTGGGTCAGCTCCTAGAGTGGTCTTGACTGATCAAGAACAATTTTTGAAAGAAGCTGTTGCAGATGTATTTCCCAACACACTCCATTTTTTCTCTCTGTGGCATATGTTGAGAAGGGTTCCTGGAAAGCTAGGAAAGATTATTGATCAGAATGACGATTTTATAGAAAGCCTTAATAAGTGCATTTATAGATCTTGGACGGATGAAGAATTTGAAACAAGATGGTGGGAAATGATAGACAAATTTGAACTAAGGGAGGATGTATGGCTTCAATTGTTGTTTGATGATCGTAAGAAGTGGGTGCCAACATATGTGAGGAATTGTTTTTTAGGCGGAATGTCTACAGTTGGGCGACCGGGAAGTGTAACCTCATCTCTTGACAAGTATATATGTAAAGAAACCACATTCAAGGAGTTCATTGAGCATTCTGAGGTATTTTCCAAGAACATGCTCGAGTTGGAAGCTAATGCTGATTTTGAAACTCGGCACCAAGAACCAGCCTTAAAGTCTCTCTCTCCTTTCGAGAAACAAATGGCCACGATCTACACGACTGCGATATTTAAGAAATTCCAGTTGGAGGTATTGGGAGCAGCTTCATGTCAAGTGCAGAAACAAATAGAAGATGGAGCTATTGTAACATACCAGGTTTATGATCTGGAAGACAGCCAGGATTTCCTGGTAGCTTGGAATATGACAGAATTGGATATATGTTGTTTATGCCATTCTTTTGAGTATAGAGGCATTCTTTGCAGACACGCTATCCTTGTTCTTCAAGTCTCCGGAGTAACTAGTTTCCCACGCAAATATATCTTGAAACGTTGGACAAGAAGTGCAAAGATCGGGCCGAGCGAAACGTCAAACCAACTTCATTACCGAGTGCAGCGTTTCAACAACCTCTGCAAACAAGCCATTAAACTGGGTGAACAAGGATCTCTATCTCAAGAAACCTATGACATTGCATCTGAGGCATTAGAGGAAGTACTGAAACAATGTGTTTTTGTGAATAATTCTACCAAGAGCTCTGCAGAAACAAATACCTTGGTTTCTGTTGGTTTTGTTGATGTGGAAGAAGATGAACATGGCAAAAATATGGCCAAGTCATCTAGGAAAAAGAAAACGAGTAAAAAAGGCAAGGTGAGTTAGTACCTGTTTCTAGCTAAAGAGCATTGTGTAATCTCATATGGTTTTTAAAAAATTGTACTAAAAATCTGTATGATCTCCTGTTCTACCTATAAGATAACCAAGCGGGCACGGGTCAAATCATCGGAGGTGGTATGTTCTATGCAGCTGTACTAGAGATGGTGTGAAGTGTTATAGCTGTAAACAGTACCATCCTTACATTTTCTTTCTTCTTTGGCATACTCGTACATTCATGCAGGAAGTGGACTCGAGAGCCGCTGCACTTGATGGCTGCCATAGTTGCCAAGAAAATATGCTAGGATCGGTACGACAACACCTTTTAAGCATGTATGTTCTATTTTCAAGTGAAAACTCTAAAATACTTTAAATATGGTCATCTATGCTTTACAGGGTCTGTCGAACTCAAATTCTCCTTTCTGTGATGGACCTGAAGGTTATTATAGTCATCAGGCTATGCAGAGTTTGGTATGCTTGATGATACTTAGAAGTATGATGTTCTTGAAGAATTAAGAATCTTAGCTTGACCAGTCCTCATCTCTTATTCTTCAGGATCAATCTCCTTCAGTCGTAGCTCATGTTGGTCTGCATAGCGACGGCCAGACTATGCAGGTATTGGTCTTCAGTTCAGTTTCCAATTCTAGATTATTATGCAACTCGGTTCGATACATCGACTTGATGTATGTATCTGTTTGTCTTTAGTCCCAGGGACAGCTTAATTTGGATGTGCAACGGCGTCTTGACATTGAAGATAATCGGCAAGATATGGTATGTCTTCGGTTACGTGTAGTATATTGATTACATTTAGGACTCTCCGTTCATCGAGGTGTAATTATTTTCGTCGTAGGAACAGCCTGATGATGCCTTGTCCCAGACTCACATTAACAACTCATCAGGAAGAACAAGACAACCTTAACATATGTAAAAAACCCAGTTCTCAGTTGTAGGAAAGTTTTATGGGTATGTTTCTAAATGTTTTCTTATGTGGTTTTGTTTATTTTGGTCCTATGTTCTTCTATGCGGAGATTATACTCCATGAACTAACAAAACCAATGTTTTATTTTGTTTGCAGGCAAAGCATATGAAATTTGTAAATATTTAATCAATTTGATTTATTCTTGATGAATGTAAAAGTAAGTTTTTAAAAGATTAATGAAAGGTTGTACTTTTTTTTTTCCTAGTACAAGGTTGTTTTTATTCTAGTACAAGGTTGTACTATAATTTGTGGTTATTACTTTAGTCAAAATTTTGCCAAATTGCTTACTTCATTTCACTGCCAGCTTATTCTTTTTTAGAGATCCCCAAATTATTATACTAAAAAAAAGTTTTAAATTTGTCTCATAAAACTCAACTGATAAAGTTTGATATATGTATTTTTACTCCCTATATAAACTTAAGCAACATACACTTAATAATGGTGATTTAAACTATAGCCGGAAATATAACCTATATATGGCTATAAAGTATATACGACTATATCCCTATACAATTAACAAACAAAACAAATAACCTACAAACCTTCCGGTCGGCGACTAGATAATGATCGAGATAAACGGAGGGTTCTAATGGTCGACGGGTCACCAACGACAAAAAAGAAACCTCGGGATAAATGGACGTAAACAATGGACGGGCGGCCGAAGACGAAGGAGAAGCTAGACAGACTGTTCCGGCGACGAAGAAGAACGAAGGCGGTGGCCAGAGACGAAGGAACGCAGACGACGATCAAAGACGAAAGAATGGGCGGAAACGGAACGATAGAGGAAGAAGAAAAGTCAGAGGAAGGAGGTTTTCGAATATTTTCAATAATGGAGGATTTTGGAGATTTAAAATGTAACCACTCAAATAACCAATTTTGGATTTTAAAAATTAATTACTACTGAGGAGATACAAAATAATATATTAATAAATTGAGTCATGGGTACCATCTTAATTGTTTCATGACAAAAGTGTAAATTTTATACCATTCAATCGTTTTATATAATTATAGTCTCGAAATAACCTATCAATGTACTAATCCTTAATGAAAATGTATTTTAATATCTTATAACCACTTCATCTATTAATATATAAATAGTGAGACTAAAACTTATTATGCTAGAATTGAGAGAAAGAAAATTAAAAAATACTTACAAACGGTTAAATGATATGTTAGGCCACTCAACTAGGTGACAATTTAACCCTTATAGTTGCAAATTAGTAACAATTTTAGTCATTAAACTTTATTATATAACAATTTAGTCTATCTGATTTGATAAGCTTTCTTTTATATATATATATATATATATATATATATATATATAAATAAATTATTGAGAGAAAAGATCAAATCTTTATATGACAAAAATCAAGTAAATTGTGTCCTAAATTGTTAAACGAGGAAAACTACATAAATCAAACGTCTTAAAAAAATTAAATAAGTATAAAATCATATAATTAATAAAGTGATAAAGCCAACATTACAGACGTAATTGGTGAAAACAAATTTAGAAAGTTTGAATCCAAGTTCCGAAAAGAGATTAACAACAAAAATAATTTGGCCGATTAAGAAGCGATTAGAAAAACATGGCAAGAAGAAATTGGGCGTTTAGAAAGAAAACAAAATGCGGTTTTGCCGCGGATTTGATGAGGCGTAGTCAAAGATCGGGAAAAAATCGGCCCGCCTGATATTGTAGAAAAATCAAATCCAAAGACCAAAATCTGAGTGAAGAGCGCCTCGGCGCTACGATCCGATCTATTTGGTCAAAAGAACGTGCGAATTTGGCATCTCAATTCAATTTCCTTTTTCTCTCTAATTTTGTTTTTATTCGACTCTCTCTTCTGTTCTGTGTGGTGAAGATGTTGAGAGAGAAACCGTCCAAATTCAGGAATTAGGGTTTATTGGAACACCTCGAAAACGAAAGCTGCCCCTCACTGTATGATCATGGCAGCGGTTTTGAGATGTAATTATTCAAACTATTGCGTTTTTAGAAACAACTTTGAAATGCGTTATTGAGCTCGAACCAAATAGATCGATCGGAGGGTGACAAATTTTACAAGTGTCTGTTCTTTGCTTGCAGGTTTTTTCTAGCATAGCTTACTCTAAATTGTTTGGTCGTTACCAATTTGGCATCAGACATTGTCTATTGTATATTTTACTGGGGCTAAAAGTGGCGTTAAAATCAACTTTTTAGTATTGAAATAACCATAATCAAATAAAATTAACTACGCTATTTTCAATTATTGATTTTAAAGAACAACGAACAGATACATGTCGATTAAACAAACCAAATCAATACATTGTCTCAATTTTGTCGGTTTTGATTGGTTTGGTCAACTTTTTCAACCTCTTTTCATTCCTTCTTCCACAACACAAAAATGTTAATAATGAAAATGTCCCCAAATTTAGCAAATTGGAGGGATTGATGACAACAAATTAATTAAATACACAAGTTTGAAATATGTTGTCTCTTTTTTCCTTCTCATTTCAAAGTCTAGATGTGCTTACAAGTGAAGTTTGAATTTATTTTGAACATTAGTGAACTTTTTCTACTTGAAGAAGTCATTCAATGAAGTGTGTGATTAGTTGCAATTTTGGAAAAATAATAGTTTATTAACAATTGTATTTGTGGCGTACAAAACTACCTCTCTTTTCATTCAAACAAAATTTACAATTAACAATCTTTATACAAAATTCCAAAAAGTAAACAAATTTATATATATATATATATATATATATTACTTTTCTTATATAAATGATGTTGTACAAGAGATTAAAACTTAATGAATTTAATTAAATTAAAATATCTAAAAATCAGTGTATGATTTACATTCAATTTTTTTGGAAATAGGTGTAAGATGAGCTATGATCAAGTTGGTGTGCGTGGAGCTAAGCTCATGTTAACTCCTCTTATCGGAGTGTTTTTCATGGTTGATTATCTGAATTTGTTTTTAATTGCATAGATTTGAACCTTCTCCCTCTCATTCATGATGTATTAAATAATATCAAGAAATCTAGAATTTGTAAAAACGTATATTGATATTAGAAAAAATTGACTTCACACCCGTAGTGACCACCAATTTTTTTTTTTTTTAATTTTGAGGTAAAACAAGTAGGGTGGTGGATTCAAACTCATCATGTTGATTAAAGACAGATACTAAGTTAAGTTCGTGTTGGCACCTACCTTCCTTTTTAGTGCAAAAAATATGGATGGGAAATCGAACTTTCTTTATTCACTCAGCGAATATTCGAATTAACATAGTTGACCACCGCTCTAAAATATTAAATTTTGCAAATTTTATAAAATTAGTTGAACTCTAGGGGAGGGAAACCCAATACTCACATTTCATCGAAAATAAAAACATATTTTACAACATGGAGAGATGAAATAAATTGAGTATGTGCGTTTCCTTTTTGGATTTCAACTGGGTAATTTTAAACTAAATTACAAATGAGAATAAACCAAAATATATAAATGCTGCTAAATTGACCCATTGGAAAGAGAGGCAAAAAAAAAAAAAAGGTATTTTGACAACTTTATGATTATGACTTTAGAATGTAGGCAGGTTTCCTGGAAGCCTGCAGTCCACAGTGGCAACAAAAATTTTAATCCCTCTACCAATTTTTAGATGCCAATGGTTTAATACTTACCTTTATGTTCAACACTTTTTTTTTATTTTAATATTCGTGAGCGTTTGGGTGAGCTTAACAAATATTTAATATTGAAAAATACATATAAATTAATTCTAGCTATAATTAGATTTGATAACATTCTCTCTCAATTTGGAGAGGGTTCCTTTGAACTAATGAACCATCATGATGATTGGTTATGCTCCACCTTATTAACTCATCATTTTTCTTTTAAAATAGATAAAAAAATATTGATTTTTAGCATTCGAAATTTTAATATGATAACATTTTATTTGGTTGATAGTTATATAGAACGGAAGATATTTTCATGTTTGAATTCAATTTGAAGATGGATTTTTTTTTTCATTTCTCGATGGTGAAGTAATTTCATTTCTATTTTAGTAGGGTCATGCGATTATCCGGCAAGATTAATCGAGATGTGCGCAAGTTAATCCAAACATTCACGAATACTTTTAAAAAAATTCATTTCTATTTCAGAGATTTTATGTATTTTCACATCCCTCCAAAACCAATTGTCTCTACACCCCTACGTCTCCTTTGTAACTAGGCGGTCATTTAAGGTATATCCCCTCTTGTTTCAATCCTAAAATAAATTAAATAAATATGACACGATCTCAGACATATTTATAAGTAATCTCTGCATAGTTAAAAAAATTTTACTATTTTTTTTTTGGAATCAATTGTATTCCATTATCATTAAGACTTTAAAAGTGATTTTTACTAATTTTATTTAAAAATAACATACAAATAATTTTATAAAATTACAAAAATTATTTTGACAATACTAAAATCATTGTTTGCTATTGTATAGTCTCTCCATAAGGTTTGAAAGAATCCAACAGGAGCAGCCCCACGTGCCCCCTCACGTGACATCCCCAATGATCTCATCTCTTCTCCTTCCACGTCAACTCGTGGTTGGTATTTCATTTTCAACCCCATAAGAAGTCCCTCCTCTCAAGACCTCAAAATTTATTTATATATAAATATTTTATATATACTCTCTCTCTCTCCTTCTCTATCCCAAAAGGCCAAAACCAATTTATTTAGTTCTCTCTTTCTTTCTTCTTGTTGCTCTTCAAAATGGCTGATCAATGGCTCAATATTTACCACCAAAATCTCTCCAATCAGCCCCCCTTACTCTCCGATCACGAAATCAGAAATTCCGGGCTGGTCTCCGATTCCACCGTCGTCACCGCCGCCGTCTCCTCCGCCACCACTCCGCCGGGCTCCGGGCCCAGCTTGAGCCCAGATGGGCGCGTGGGCAAGCCGGTCCGGAAGCGGTCCAGGGCCTCTCGACGAACCCCGACCACTTTACTCAACACGGACGCGGCCAATTTCCGCGCCATGGTCCAGCAATTCACCGGTGGGCCCACCTCCAATAACGCGTCCAATTTCACATTCGGATTCCCCGGTTCTACTCACTCCGTGTACGACCCGTCCTCCGCCGCCGCCTACCACATCCCGGCTCCGCCGCAGCAGGCGCAGCTGTTCCAGTACCAGGGCCAACAACCGCCGCCGTTCATGTTCTCGTTGGGCGATTCGCCGGCGCTTTTCCAAACGCACGGTGGGGGTCCGAGGAATGATAATAATAATGTTGCTGACTACATGGGGCTGTTCGATGGGCCTGCTCCGCCGCCTCATCAACCTCGGCCGTCCTGACTCCGGCGCGGCGGCGATATTCGGCGGTAGTTTTTTTTTTTGCTTTTGATTTTTTGATGTTTTTTTTTTGGGGGAGTTGGTGGGTAAAAGAGGAAGTTAGGCACCGAAGTCTACTGACAAAATTCTCCAAAGGATGACATTTTTGAATTGACCATGGATTTGGATGGTGTAAAGTTGGAGCGTGCGGCACGGCTCTGGTTCGCTCGCACGTGTGAACTCTGCTCTATCGCCACGCACCGTATTAGTATGGATCCCTTGTTAATTACATTTATTATTATTGTTATTATATGTTTTTTTAATTTATTACTTTTCTCTTTACGACTTGACTCGCCTCGTTTTAATTTTCTTTTAGGGCCATTTCATTTCTTTGGTGGAAATCGTGGCCCTTTTGTACCAAACTTTTCCTTTGTTGTTTCTTATTCCTCTTTTTTTTTCTTTAATATATATATATATATATATAACGTTTTTTGTTTTTAGAAATTTTAGAAGCAACATGATTAAGTTTTTTTATTTTTTATTTTTTTCGAATTAAAAAAATTGACTATTTAATTCTAAAGAGTAATTTTATATTAAAATTTACTATCTTAGAGAACATTTTCTTTATTTTTTTTTTGAAATGGAAAATTTGACTATTTAATTCTGAAAATTACTTTTGATATAAAAGTTTCACTATGGTAGAGAACATGGAATGAAAATTGATATTCTATTAGTTTTTCACGGTCACCAAACGTGTTTAAAAATTTTCAGGTGGATTTTTAAATTTCTATATTTGTTTGGGTAAAAGTGTTACACGGATATTTAATATAGTTGGTTTAGATACTATTTTCGACTAAAAAATTCTAGGTTCAAATTTCAAACTTCCTTTAATGCTTCTTACAAATAAAATAAAGAATGTTTTTTAATGATATTTTTTCCTCTACTTTACATACATATATATATATATATATATATGTATTCCTTTCATCCATTTTTTAATTTCTTTTAAGAATAAATCAGTGTATTTATTTATTGATAAGTGATTATATACCATAACTATATTTCTAAATATAAAATAAACTATTAAATTCCTCTGAAAAAAAACAAACTATTAAATTTTATATTTAAAAAAATATTTGAATATGTGAATTACACGACATTATTAAAACAAATATTTTTATAAATATTCATGTCAAATAAATCTAAGTAAGTGAAATATTTATAATTTTAGATATATAATATTTTGGACACTAGAATATGCCATGTATTTAGATTCCCATAAAAAATAATTGGCCCCTTTAAGTTTTTGTTCTATTAGTGTTTTTTTTTTTCTTCTTCTTCTTCTATTATTTCTGATCGTGTGTTGCTTTTATTGGAGACGTGTCAGGTGTCTAAATGGTCAATTCTACGTTGCCGAATGGAGAATAATTTATCCATTTCTCACATTTTTTAGTGCTTCAATAATAAAAGTTTGAGAATTTAAATAAATATTTATCTAATGATTTTATTAACGCCATTCATGGTTTATAAAAGCTACATGAATTGTCTTAAAAAACCTTATAATTCATAAATTTTGAGTTTTGTCTCGTTATTTTATTCAGAAATAGATAGGTGTATTTACAAATAAGTTGAGTTAAGTTTATGCTCTCGGTTCTATTTTTATCTAGGATTTATATTTTATAAATTCTAATTTTCATTTCATTTAAACTCAAGTTTTAAAATTAGTATCTTGAAATTCTCTATAATATCCTTTTTTTTGTCCTTTTAACTTTTTCTTTTTCTTTTTGGTTATTTTTTTGCAGAAATATGATGTGATTTTTTTATGCTTTTCTACGATGCGGTAGAAATTTATAGTTTTTCAAAAAAATAATAATTAAAAATTATTCTCTCCCTAAAACCGTTGTTAATGCTGGTGCTGGCAGCGACACTGTGTAAGGGTGGGGAGGGGAGAGCGGGAGAATATTTTATGATCTTTTGATCAGGTGCCTTAACCATTTCAACTATACTTGATTAGGTCAATTATTTTCTTTTAAAAAAATTTTAAACCTAATGATTATATATATATATAGAGCACTGAAAGAAATTATTTTTTTTCCTTTAATCTTCCTATTAATTGAAATAATATCCGCCATGAACTTTCAACATTTAATAAATGTTTTTTTTATATGAACATAACTCAATTTGTCAAAACATTATTTGCCTCTAGAAGAGAGTTTAAAGGGAAAAAAAAATCTACTTAGTATATGATGTGAATACCATAAATAGAACGTTGAGATGTATTTAATTGGTGTGATGTGATAGACATGTGACTGACACATGAATAGTACATATATATATTTTTTAGAAAACACACATGAATAGTACATATAAACAATAAGTTATATTTTAAAAAATATATAGGACCAATCTAGTTTAGATCATCTTTAATATTAAAAATGTGAAAAGTGGTGTCATTACATAAATGTAATCAATTCTTATTCCTTATTGTATCGGCAATTCTTATTCCTTATTGTATCGGCAGTAGATATTTATTATAATTACTTTACTACTTTTATCATTTATCTCTCATCACCTGTAACTTTTTAAAATAATATATATATATATTAGAACAACATGTTGGGCATGTTGGGGTGGGAAGTAAATTTGAACTCCAACTGAGTATATGGCAATTATCGCTAGGCTAGGCTCGTTTTAACTTTTAAATATTTATATTAATTATTTTTCATTCATACTACTAATAATTTTTTGTAATAAAAATTGTATAGTTGGCATGATTTTATTATGATTTTATATTTAATTTGTTTAATTATCTGATTTGATTTTCTTATTATTAATTAATATCGATATATTTTTTAAAATATAATTTATTGTTATTAAATATCAAAATAATAATATTTTATATCAAATGATGGTTGTTCTAATGAAAGTGTATTTTAGTTGATGTAGTTTTATTTATTATTTATTAATATTAAATAAATTATTATAATAAAAAATATTGTAAGTAATATAGTAATAAAATAAATTCTATTATTATTTTCTATATGATTCCGATTTCAATTACAAATCGATTTTGTAAACAACATAAAAGACAACTCATTACTATCCTAAAAAATTTGTGGGGAACAAAATAATATTTCAATTTCAATTTATTTGATTCTAATTGATTTTTATTTTTATTCTATTGTCTTTCTTCTTGAGAAGAAAAGAAGAAAGAGGAAAAATCTTTTTATTTCAAAATCTATGTTCAACTTCTTGTTTGCTTTTGAGAAACTATATATATAAAAAAAATCTCCTATGAAGTGGAGGGGAATAATTTCATGGCTTCTATGTTTGAATAGTGAGAAAAAAAAAAGGAAGTCCGACCGACTCGATTTGATCCGAATCGACCGACTTACACCCGTAATTCCAAGTAAATAATGCCTTAATGTAAAGACAGATGCTCGCGAGTAAAACAATTTCTTTTAGAATGAGATTCCATCATTTGTTATTGGGATGCTTTGGAATCTTCAAAATAAATGTTGGAATCTAACATTATCACATGATATATATATTTATTTGAGTATGATTATTTACGTTATTTACCTGCAATTTTGTTAAAATAGTGAAAATATTATATATATAATCTATAAAAATTTAATTTATTTGAATTTACATCAATCTAATTTAAAACCGAATAAATTTATGATCAATTAGAGTTTTCTTGAACGCCCCGGATAAAATCTTAAATAAATGAATTATATTGAAATTCAAAAAGAAGATATGGCAAAACACAATAGATTAAATTTTATTTTATTTTTTTTGAGTTAGGAAAAAGAGATAAATAATTCATAGATATTTTTTTTTTTGTTTCGGATAATTAATAGATATTTCTTATTGAAAAAGAAAGAAGAGATTATTATTAGCTATAAAGTGGATAAGAGAAAAATACCGACGGAGAAAAAAAAAGAAAACAAAGAAATAGGGAGCGAAAATGTCGTGTTGTCGGAGGTGCACGCCATATCAGGAGAGTCGAAAAAAAGAAAATAAAAAATAAAAAATAAAAAAGGGAAAAAAAGAGAGAAAAAAATAGCAAAAAAGAAATTAAGGGAGAAGAAACGCACATCAAAAGCCTCGCCAAAGGAGAATGAAAGCGAAAGGGAAGAGGAGGTCGTAAGGTAACTCGAATGGCGGATGTGAAGGCCGGCGATTCCACCACCCTCAACGGTTCTCTAAACCATTCGAATTCCGATCAGCCGACGGACCGTCCAATTCGAGTCTATGCCGATGGGATCTACGATCTCTTCCATTTTGGTCACGCTCGCTCTCTTGAGCAAGCCAAGAAATCGTCCGTTTCATCTCCCATTTTCTTCTGCTTCTGCTTCTGCTTAATTTTCTTCCCTTTTGTTTGTTATTCATGCGCTGGTACGTTTGTGGCTGACTGTTCGCGGGATAATCTGTATCTCTGCTTCTGGTTTCTAACTCTCTGCGATTTAAGTAATTTAGTTCCTATGTTTCGCCTGTTCGTTGATTTTTGAGTTTTCTTCTCATGGGTTAGACTACTTGGTTGTTCGTAATTTCTATGTTTGTTAACTTGCTTTTACTTGTCCGTGATCTTCTATTGTGTCACTTTTTAGTGTTCGGGCTGTCTGTGTATGTTCCATCATCTTTGGGAGAATTCATTTGTTTAATTGACGAGCTGTGCTTATTCTTTTTCCCTGTTATTTCAGGTTCCCAAATACCTATCTGCTAGTTGGGTGTTGCAACGATGAGATTACCCACAAGTTTAAAGGGAAAACTGTCATGACTGAAGCTGAACGATATGAATCTCTTCGCCATTGCAAGTATGAGTTTTCGTCATTACTTGAATTACTTTACTGGGGCTTTTGGATCTGGAAACTTTGCTACAAGTAGATGTGCTTTTGATACATACAATCACTTCTAGTAGGCGTGTTTTTGACTCCTTTAAATTCAACTGTAGTTATGATGCATGAAATTTGAACTCGTGATTTATCAACATCTGCATGAACTTTATATACTTTCTCTAAATGTGGAATTAATTTTATCCGCATGGATTCTTGAACATGGTTTTATTATTTTTTTTCTTTTCCGCAGGTGGGTGGATGAAGTGATTCCTGATGCACCGTGGGTGATCTCTCAAGAATTTATTGACAAGCACAATATTGAATTTGTAGCCCATGATTCTCTCCCGTAAGGACTAAGGATATCATATACTTTATCTAATAAGTGAATGAAGAGGGTTAAGCCATGACTGAAAAATCTAATGTTTGTTACTTTGTACATAAGTAAAACATTCAAAATTGTACTGGTGTACCGTGAATTTATCTGTCATATTGGATTTATTTTATTTTTATTCTGATTTAAATGATTTATGTCAGCATGTCACTATATCTTCATTATTTTTCCTTTTTCCGTCTTTATACAGTTATGCTGATGCTTCGGGAGCAGGGAAGGATGTTTATGAATTTGTAAGTTCAGAAGATGGGTATATCCATTCGATCAGCTTTGTGCTTAGACATCAGCCGTTGTATATAGTCTCATCGGTGGTAACTTTTCCTTTGTAGGTTAAGAAAATTGGAAAGTTCAAGGAAACAAAAAGGACAGAAGGAATATCAACGTCGGACATTATCATGAGGATTGTCAAAGATTATAACCAGTATGTGCTGCGTAATTTGGATCGTGGTTATTCAAGGAAAGAGCTTGGAGTCAGCTATGTGAAGGCATGATGTTACATCTAGATTGACCCGTTTTACTAGATTAATACTTATTTTGCTAGTCAGCAAGGCTAGATTATATTGGTTTTGTTTCTTAAAAAACAACTCAATCTTGTTGTGTATGATTGCCAGGAAAAGCGGCTAAGAGTAAATATGAGATTGAAGAAATTACAGGAGAAAGTGAAGGAACATCAAGAAAAGGTGGGAGAAAAGGTACGCATATATCATATCTTAACAATAGGCCTGTGGATGCAGTAGTAGGGGAGTCAAGATTATATTGCCCACCACGTGATTCCTCATTCCAAATGATTGGGATAATTGTACCTTAGGTGTTGCATTAAACTATTTCTTAATGGGAACACAGGTCACTTGCATTATTGAGTATTTGTCACTAGGTCTCGTCTAAAGGTGTCTTACATTTTGTGCATTTCTGCTATGACTTGTTAGTTAAGCATAAGTGTCAGGAAAAATGCTAGTGATCTTAACATTGGAGAAACTGAATCTATTGTGTTTTAGTTTGTGCGTCTCTGCTGATTATTGAGTAAACTCCATATCTCGGGGATTTTGTTTTATATATACTTAGGTGCATACTTGTGCTCCTGGGCATAACTTTGGCTCCATGCCTAGCACTACTCACTCTCATGTACATATTAGTGAGGTTATGATTATCATTATTATTCTGAACGTCCAGATACTTTTCTGTCCTTGCACATCAGATCCTGTCTCTAAGCTTTTTCTTTCTAATTAAATTTTTGTCTCCTTCAATGACCACGTATTAACCTTTTAGTTTTGTTTGATTGAGTATAAACTTTACTTTTATTTTTTGATGAGACTCGGAAAAAGAAAAAACCATGTCCTCTCTTCAGAGCCTCACGGTTCTCTGTGTCCGTTACGCCATTTCATTATTTTATCTGTTTCACTGGAGCTATCTATCATTGAGGAAGAACATAGTAACATTACAATATGTTTGTTGACCAATAGAAAATTTTAAATAAGCTTAAGGTGTGCGTCATTTTATCTTAGCCTAAAATTACCTGAATTAAGACACCAAAAGAGCAAAACAGAGAAGAACAAGTTGCAGGTAAATGTACCTTTGGGTTTCTTTCTTCTTCTGGATTTATTTTATTTTGGAACTTATTCCAAAATTAATGTAATTTTGAAACTTATTCTTAAAACATGGGGGGTTCAAGATATTTTTGGTCTATATTCATTTATTGAAGAGATGATTCTCATATACATTAATTTAAAATGAAGTTTTCGAAAGTGAAAACATAACAGAAAAAAGCTTTGTGAAGACCATCTTTGTTTTTGGCAGAGGAGGGAAGCAAGCTGTTGATAGATCTTGAACAACTAGAAACATATTGGAGTATAAAATATAGAACAACTACAATGATTTACATGTAATTCGAGGTGTTGGACCCTCCCTTCTCTTGAATATTCTTACTCAAGTCTAAGTCACTCTAACAATTGCCTATCTCAATCCTTCTCACTCACTCTATTTATAAAAAAAACCCCAAGACCCTAACAACTTCCCTATCTATTTACTAATATACCTTTAATACCCTAATAGTATCCTCAATTCTATCCTAATAGCATTCATAACTGCTTGTGTGGCTTTCATTTCTTTCTATTTTATTTTATAATATCATTTTTTTAGAAAAGGATTTTAATTGTACATTTATGAAGTCGTCTTTTGAAGTGTCAATTTTTGTAGGAAAAGTTGAATTTCGTGTCAGTTTACTGCCATGCAAATATTATTACCCTATTTTTTAAATTTAATGTAGTATTAAACATTATATTCTTAAATTAACTTGAAGAACTTTAATGTTACTTTCAATGACTGTCCTACCTTTCGTGGTTTGTTTTTGATATGAGGACATTGGAAACTGGGTAATTAATACTTAACCCACCTAACATACCAAGTTGATTACCTCTTGATTTAAATTTTTTTTTCTGTATTTTACATTTTATGCAGCATGTTTTTCTTTCGTTTAAAGAGTTTTCCAAGCCTTTTACTGGGTAAAGTTTTTCTTGCATATTTTCCAATTTGTTTTCCTAGCGGTTCTTCTTGCTCTGTCTGGGGAGCTTTTGTTGTGTTCAGTATTGAGCACTGCATTTAGTTTGTACTCGATGGTTCTGATTAAATGACGTTGCAATAGAAAAAGCTGAGTCATGCAATTTGTTTTTTTCCGTTGCACTGCGTCATATTTTTTTAATCATGGTTATGCCCTTTTGAATCTTGTTTTCATTAGTGTTCCTGGATGATCCTCCTAATTATCCTCATTGAAGTGAAAAAAGTTCTTTCTGTACTTCTGTGAAAGTGAGGACTTTATGTGGTTTTGTTGGACCTACAATTATATTCTAGGCATTATTTACTTTGACATGATTATAGCAGGATATTTTATTATCTTTTTATAGTTGAAAATTTTTGTCCTGGATATTGCAGATACAAACAGTTGCAAAGACTGCCGGCATGCACCGGAATGAGTGGGTGGAAAATGCTGATCGCTGGGTAGCTGGATTTCTAGAGATGTTTGAAGAAGGCTGTCATAAGATGGTAAGTCTTTTCGCGAATTATCCCTTTTGCATTAATGCAGTAAGCTTTGAAGTAGATAAGAAGAAGAACGTACACAGACATACATGGTTTTGGTGAATCTTGAACTAAAATTAATGGGGTTGCATCTGAAAAATCATGGATCTGTTTAGGGCACGGCCATCAGAGATCGAATTCAAGAGCGGTTGATGGGGGCGCAACAGCAGTATCTACGAAATGGTGAAGGCAGTGACTCAGACCTTGAAGAAGAATATTATGATGACGACGACGATGGCGAAGAATATTACGACGATGATGAGGACTTCTATGAGGAATTCGAGAAAGATGAGAAGAAAAGGTAGACATGGCTTTACGTCGTGTTTGAATATATATGTTACGTGCATAATTTGGTGGATTCTACCGTATATTGCTGCTATATGTTTAGGTGCAGATGGTAAAACATGACTGCTAGTTGCCAAAGCCAAAAAAGAAAAGGGCACTTGGTGGTGGTGAGTTGGGTTTTCTAAGATATGTTGTGCATATGGTGGATGAAAATTTTCCTTGAAGCTTGTAAAACAGATAGACATGAAGGGCTTTTTCTTTTGTTTTTGTTTTCTTGAATCATTGTAATTGAAGTTTGCTTTTGGGTTTCCTGTTTGTAGGTAATGAATGTATGAGTGATAAATATGGTTTTGATATTATATATTTCTCTTTCCCTCTTTTTGAGTCTAAAATCTAAACAATTGCCAAATACCTTTTTTCTTTGAAAAGGAGGCTTACTTGGCTTCACCTGCCCCATTTTGTAGTCATATGTTGTTGGTTTGCAAAGGAATTTGGAATGTTATAAACAGGACAATTTGATACTTCCATCCCAACAATGCCACCTCAACACTTTTTATCTATGTTATGATGCCAAAGCCACAAGTCACACGACTTTAAAATTTCAAGTTTAAAATGCTACTACTTACCGCTTTTGTTCATTTTAGTCATTTTTCTTTCAAAATGTCTTTTTCGATTTCTGTATTTTTAAAAAATGACAATTTTGGTCTTTTAATTTTATTTTAGTCTTATTTTTTTCTATCACAATTTTAACACGACACTGAAATTAATATATTTTTTAAAATGTAAACATTATTTTATACTAAAGAGTTTTCATCAGGTGTAAAGTTTATGATAAAAATTTGTAAATATGAACTAAGATGATCACTTTTCAAAAAGTATAGGGACCAAAATGAACATTTTGAAAGTCTAGGGATTAAAATAAACAAAAGTTTAAAATACGGATGACTAGAATGAACATTTTCAAAATATGACGATTAAAATAAACTAAGACTAAAAGTACAAGGACCAAAATGAATATTTTAAAGTCTAGGGACTGAAATGAACGAAAGTTTAGAATACGAGAGACAAAAATGAACATTTTTAAAATATGAAGACTAAAATAAACCAAGGTTAAAAGTATAATGATCAAAATGAACATTTTGAAAATCGATATGAAAATGAACCAAAATTTAAAATATGAGAGACAAAAATGAACATCATCAAAATATGAAAACTAAAATAAACCAAAACTAAAAATATAGGTATCAAAATAATAATACATGATAAGATTTGACTAGAATTTAGATGAAAAATAGAAAAAAAATAAAAAGAAGGTATAGAATAAATGATGTGTAGGCCAGTTGGGATGGGCATGAGAGTGAATGAAGTTGAAGTGACAAACGATGTTTGTTGTGGAAAAAGGATGAAAGACTTTTCAAAGTCTTTGCAAAGTTCCAAACTCAAAAGTGCAAAAAGCTTTATGCCTTATTCCAATTCCTTCTCACTCACTCCCCTCTCCCAAGTAAAAAATAACATAACATCGACAAGGCGATACTTCATTTTTTTTTTTAATTTAGAATAAGGACACAATAAGTTTTATTAAAATATAAGAAAAAATACATTTTGGTTCCTGAGATTTGTAATAAGTGTCTATTTGGTCCCTAAAATTTTAAAATGAAAATTTTTAGTCCTCAAGGTTTGGAATAAGTATCTATTTGGTCAATAAGTTTCAAAATATACATTTTTGATTCTTAAGATTTGATAAATAATTCTAAATGATTCCTAAACTCTTTTGATCGTTAGTGGGTTTTCTCTCTTTCCTCTTCCCTTCCTCCCTCGTTCTCTCTCTCATCTCCGGCCAACCTTCCCCAGCACCGTCAGCCGTTTCCATCCTTGTCACTGCTCGCCTTTGCCTCATTGTCTCCCACACATTCATAGTCTCTCCAAACCTCGAATTGAAAAACTGAAACCAAAACTCTGAAAGATAGGCCACAAACCGAAAGAACAGATCCAAATAATCAACTACGGAGAAACCCAAAAGAGTTTATATATAGGGCTATATTAACTGTGACTAGTTATTTGAATTCATGATTTTTTGGTCGATAATATATCTCAACCATCAATATTTTTTCATCAATAAACCATTAAGGGAATATTTTTTGCTTGTAGTTATAAATTATAATGAAAACTAATTTTTTAGCCTAAATTTCACTTCAAATAACTTTTAATAATTTAATAAACCCCCGAAACCTCTAATTTGCTTACTCCACCAAATACCTAAACTTATAAAAAAAAAAGTGTGTTAGGAGTGATAGTATACTGAGTGATTTTGAAAAAAGATATTTAAATATAATTAATTTTTCAAAATCACCATCCAAGTAATACCTTAAAAATCAATTTAAAGTGATTTTAAACTTTTCTAAAATCAATTTTTTTAATTTGTCAAATATGATCAACATAAAGGGGAGTGATTTTGAAAATTTCAAAAATGATTTTAAAATAAAACACACCTTTAGTTAGCCACATAACTGAAATACCGTGAGTAAGTACTTAACCAATAAAATTAACAGCAAAAACTTTATTAGATACAAATTTAACAAATTCGAAGACCTATTAAAATTTTCTAAATTATTGGAACAAAAGAAACATAATCCTTACAATTTTGAAGCCAAAACTATAATTTAACCTTTAAAAAAAAGGGAAAAAAAGTGTAGAGTGGAAGTATGGAAGATGTGTAGTGTTTCCATGGAGTTATGACGGGGGGCCCACTTTGACTGTCGGGTTTTGTTGACTTTATCCGACCCGAATGTGAACTCCATCCGCTTGCAAACCTTATCTGTTGGCTTATATTTACGACTTTGACTTTGACCCGATGGGTGGGTGAGACTTCAAAATCTCGAGAAAATTATTCGGTAGGATTAACGACGTGTTTGGGAGTAATTTTGACATGATAAAATCACTTCAATTTCTGTTAATCATAATTGATAAATTAAAAACTTGATTGTAGATAAACATAAAATCACTTAAGTGTGTTTGAGAGTGACAGATTTTTAGAAATAGAAATTTAATTATAATTGATTTTTCAAACCCAAGGATACCTTAAAAGTCAATTTATTTTAAACTTTCAAAAAATCAATTTTTTACTTTATCAGATTTATAGAAAATAAGTGATTTTGATGGTGGTAAAAGTGATTTTGGTATGCCAAAATCACTCTCAAATACACCCTAATACCATATAAAGTTTTTAATTTTTTACATGTGTAGATAGAAGATCAAATTCACAACTTCAATATGATTTAATTATTTTCACTTTTGAAAATACAATGATTATATTGGAAATTTAAGTTCCAAGAACTTGACCACTACAAAGTAAAGCGATTTTTGGAATAAATGGTCCAAAAAAAAAATTCAATGATAAGATATTAAAATTTTATAAATTTACAAACAACAAAATATTAATTGAATGATTAGTTAATTGTTATGTAAAATTAGTCAAAAATATATCTTAATCGCCAATATTCACGTGCATAAAAAAAG